TTGCCATCCCTAGATCTATGTAATACTTTGTCCTCAATCATTAATAAAAATACTCATTCTGTCTGTTTTCTAAGAGAAAAGTAGCTCATACTGCATAATTTGGAGGTATTTTAGTATGTTTTCGTTACCGAGATATCTTTTTTTTTTCATTGTTCCCAGTCTACATGTTCTTGCAAAAAATATTACAAATTATAAATTAAAACTATTTAAATAATTTTCTTTTAATTAATTAATTAGAAGAGTATAATTAAAAATGTTGTTTAATTGTTTTATTTTATTTATTATTATATTAAATAAAAATAAAAATTTATTTTTTAAAAATATAAATATAAGAATCATGGGTAGAAGAGTAATTGTGCACCAAACTATTTATAATAATCAATATTTATGTGACATGTGGCGATTCTATGCTAACAAAATGAGTATTTTTGTTAATAATTTATAGTCCGAGAGGAATAGGCATTACGTTTTGAAAATTGAGAAACAAAGTGTTACAGAGTTATAGTTGAAGAAGAATTTTTGTAATTAGTTATATATATATATATATTTGATTTTGATATAGGCCAATTTTGAGTTAAGTGGAATTCACGACTTCCTATATATCAGGCACAGGAAAATATTGTTACCTTAACCATTTATGGTGCATTTTTAAGGATCCCCCTTCAATAGGCATAGCATGGAAGATCCTTCCATAAAAAGAAAGAACTAAGAAAGACAAACTAAAAATAAAAATAAAAATCACACTCATCATCATGATCCATTGCAAGGCCATTGTAAAAGGTGGGGGCTTATCAAGCACTAGAAGTATTATTGCAGGCCACAATATTAATAGTTTTTTTTTTCTTTTTTTGTTTTAAAAAAAACCATACAATTATGTACCTTTCCAATGCGTTTAAAATTCGTTCCAAAATAATTTTATTTTTTGTATGAAAATGAAAATGAAAACGTTTTCAATCTCAGACAAAAATTATTTTTAAAAATGCGTTTGGTAATTTTATCAAGAGATTATTTTCAGTATAAAAAAACTCATTAATGTCTCTCCTCAGCTCGAGAGAGGAGAAAACGAAAATAAAAAATGAAACTTAACCAAAAAATCATTTTCATTTTTTTTCCAAACACCGCTTTAAAAATATTTTTATTTTTTTTAAAAAAATATGAAAAAATAAAAACAGAATCAATACTAAACAGGATATTCATATTCCTTTCCGTCTTTTGGGTTCTTGCCTTCTTGGAGACGTCTTAGCTTTTTCATATTTCACAACCTGGAAAGACATGAGTTGAGACTTCATCCCCATTGATGGCATTGGACTAAAAGGGAAGCCTACTTAAAGTAGTATATACGTCGCTGTCAAATTTCTAACTATCCATTCCGTCTTTGATTTTTGTGGGATTTTTTGTCATTTTTAATTTGACTGATCTTTTTTCATGTTGCCCACAGTGGAATTGCATGTGAGAAAAGAAATTAAGAACAGGAAAACAGCAAAACAGCTGTTGCGAATTCCACTGTTAATAGTGGGCTTCCAAGTATTCTTTAATTGTGATTGCCGCTACAATCATCATGCTACATGTATATATATATATATATATATGTGTGTGTGTGTGTGTGTGTGTGTGTGTCGGTAGAGATCTACCATAAATATTCTTTTTATACGTATATATATATATATATTGTTTTTGAACTTGACCTCAAATTTTGCAACCATGCATGCACACGTTACATTGCAATTTAAACTCTCTACACTGGTAGAGTAATTCAATTAAAACATAATGTGTTTAATTCTTGCAAATGGCTGGTAGAAAAGGAATTTCATCTCAAATTTTTGAACATGCCAAGATAGTTTTACCTACTAATTGATTAATTTAGAAACCTTCAAAGATATTTGGTACCGAAGAATAAATATTTCGTTCATTTCACAATTCAAATCACAACATAAAACTTTTTTGTTTTATTTTGAAAAAAATTCAAAGCTCATTTTTTCTGGTACAATAAGTTTTTCTCATATAAATTCACTTTTCGACTCAAGTTCTCAACTCAAACCAGCGAAATGAACGCATCAAATAACACGTATTCCATTTTCTGTAGACAAATTCGTAGATTTTAAGGGATTATTGACATATCTCAATGGCAACAATACAGGATTATAAGCATGTAATAGTCATGAATAAATCAAATTTCACTTTCCTAATATATCTCCACAAATTGTTGGCCACACTTTCTATTTGTAACGTAACATAATACATACAGAGATATATCCATCTAGCAATTTTAATAATTGTTCAAAAACATCTCTCAATAATAATAATAATAATAATAATACACACGAAAGAGTACTGACATTTGACAATAATGAAGAATAAATTAGTGGCTATATAGTACGTTACTATTTTCTTTAAAAAAAAAAAATCATAAGAATAAGACCCAGAAACGACATGGGTTTTTTATTTTTAGTGGGTGGGGTTGTTAGAAGTATTAGATAATACATGTTGTCATGTCGTTGTGTGCATATGCCATGATGAATGTATGAGTTACAAAAAGTAATGCGATGCTATGAGTCATTGCTAACTTTCATCCAATGAAAGATCACGTATTAATTTCATATTGCAGTTTTAATTTTGGGTTAACCCTAAACTTTGAGCATTGTGACTTTATGATTTTTAAACTTTAATTTAAACAGTCCTTGAACTTTTGTTTTGTTTTGTTTTTTGTTTTAGTCCCTGATAGTAAATTTAATGAATGATTTTAAAATTTAACAAGCATAATCATTTTAATATCGCATAATAACATAAATTTTATATAAATAGTTAACAATTAGTGCAAAGCATAATAGTTTTAAATAGGTTTTAATAGTAAGAAAGAGACCTCGAAAAAAAAATAGTAAGAAAGAGAAAATTTTACAAGTAATTCTTTCTGTAAAATCTTAAATTAATTAATATGTGATGGACACATGTCTATTTTTGTTAAATTTCAGAAATCGATCATTAATTTTACTGTTAGGAACCATAACTATCAAAAAATAAAAGTTCAAAGATTAAATATGTTTAAATTAAAAGTTTATACCAAAATGTTACTACGCTTAAAGTTCAGGAACTAACGGACTTATTAACTTTTTAATTTATTGAAACATCCACCAGTGACAATAATCAATAGTGATATATACTTACCCTTTTTTTTATCTAATTTCTAGTAATGTTTAAGTATAATATAAGTTTTTTTCGACACTGATCATCACAATTAAGTTTTTAATTAGCTAAAATGTATATTGTAGAATTGTTCGAGTATCAATACCCTAAAATTCACGTTTGAGTGTACGATTGCTTTAAACATTAGACTTTTCTTCTATCCTTCACCAGGATATCGTTCCTACAAAAGTAATATGTAGAAATTAAAAGTGACATAGTATCAAGATGTGTAACATGAAAATATTAGAATATAACAAAGTATTTATTCTACATACTATGGTGAACAGAAGAAAGATGCAAAAACAATAAAAAATTTGTTACCCTCAGTTTTAAAAGTTATTGTTACATAAATGGTCCGTTTAATTCGTTAATTTGAGTTTTTAATTCGAGTTAAGATGTGATTTTATGTGAAAATTTTTTACTGTAACAAATAGATGTGACTGTAACAAAACTCGAATTCTAAACTCGAATCGGTGAAGTGAATGGAGCAAAAATAAACTGTTGTGTAGAGTTGTCCTTTAGATTAATTATATGAAGATTTTTATAGTAGGATTTAAAAAGCAAACTGTTGGTAGATATCTACTTTTTAATTGTTACATAAATGGCCCGTTTAATTCGTTGATTTGAGTTTTTAATTCGAGTTAAGATGTGATTTTACGTGAGAATTTTTTACTATAACAAATAGATGTGACTGTAACAAAACTCGAATCGGTGAAGTGAATGGAGTCAAAATAAACTGTTGTGTAGAGCTGTCCTTTAGATTAATTATATGAAGACTTTTATAGTAGGATTTAAAAAGCAAACTGTCGGTAGATATCTACTTTTTAATTGTTACATAAATGGTCTGTTTAATTCGTTGATTTGAGTTTTTAATTCGAGTTAAGTGTGATTTTATGTGAAAATTTTTTACTGTAACAAATAGATGTGACTGTAACAAAACTCAAATTCTAAATTCGAATCGGTGAAGTAAATGGAGTCAAAATAAACTGTTGTGTAGAGCTGTCTTTTAGATTAATTATATGAAGATTTTTATAGTAGGATTTAAAAAGTAAATTGTCGGTAGATATCTACTTTTTAACTGTTAAATCAGTATAAAAAATCATCTATTATTCGCACCTTTTTGTTTTTGACGTAATTTTCACAACGGTTAAAATAATGTACTATAGTACCTGTGTGATCAGGTCCCACGTTAGAAGGACCCTATTTACAAAGACAGGAATATGGCAGTGATGCGTGACATTTTTCATGCTAAGCTATGTTCATGTCTCATGATGTGTTGGAAGTGCACAGGAAAGGTGGTGATGGTGAATCTGATATGAATGAATGAATGAATGAAGCTAACCTCATCCACTGTGGAGTTATCTGAAACACTTTAAGAGAGAGAGAGAGAGAGAGAGAGAGAGAGAGAGAATCTTTGGAGTTGAATTGATAACTAATACTGTTTTGCTTGGCTTAGCATCTTCTTTCTCTCTCTCTTTCTCAATGCCACTATAGCCAATTGTAGTTTGTGTATGTGTAAGCTGTTGTTTTCTTTTTGGGAAGATGCCCAAAAATCAACAAAGTAGTTGTACTAGTACCTAGCTTGAGAGACTTTGAGTTGAGATAGAAGTTATTATGTCGTATCATCATTTTCTTTTCTTTTCTTTTCTTTCTTCTTTTTTCTTTTTTTTTTGTTTGTTAAAATTTATATTTTTATCCCAACACAACCTTTTCTCTGACTTCTCTGACGTCCCCACCATTGTCCCCCCCCCCCACACACACTTCCACTCTCTCCTCTTACCTTTGCTTTCCCATAATTAAACATCAATACCCACCATCTCTCTCTCTCTCTCTCCATTTCCTTTTTTTTTTTCCCTGCCCTTTCTTTGTTGTTTTTACTAATTCTTTTGCTCTCTCATTTCTCCCACACCCTCTTGTTTTGTTTTTCTGTTCCAAAAGCAAGGCAACCCACATGCCTGTTTTTGTCTTTGGATGATCAACCAACCCCATACTAAGAAAGAAAGAAAGGCAACAAGCAACTCTGAAAGCAGATGATGTCTGAGAATTTGAAGCACTGTTAATGGAGCTAATCCTGATCACCATATATGGTACCACCATATATATATGTACACACACACACACACATATCCCTTTATTTATTGCTTCTCTCCATGTGTGTGTCTCTCTCTGTGTATCATTTTGCACACAAGATGGTTGATCATCTGCTTCTTATAACAATAAACCGTCTCAATGCTGATTTGCTCTTTCTTTGATTTCCATGGCTTTTTTCTGCACTTTAGTGGTTGTGGGTTTCTGGGATTTCGTTTGAATCTTTTAACTATAACATTGATGAATGTAATGCACTATTTCTGGGTTTTGGCCATATAAGGCTAAGGTTTTTCCTATTATATATTATCAAGAAAGAGGTCTAAATTTCTCCAAGACGCTCCAGAATATGGATGAGATGAAGCCTTTACTGATTCAAATTTCAATTATCTTTCTCCAGTTCTTGTCACTTTTGGTCCATTAGTAGAGTCTTTTGTCCCTGCAGATTTTGATCTTAGACCTCTTTAAGTTCCACTACTGTTTTTTATTTTTTTATTTTTTTATGCAAGACATAATTTTGGTTTTTATGAGGTTGGTTAGGGTACTAGCATGCAGCTGTCTAAATTATGAACTTCATAATTTGTTTTCATTTGATTATGTTGGCGTTATTGGTATTAAGTCTTTTCCTAGGAAACATCTTTCTCATCACTTTGCCTAGATTGTCTGTTTTTTTTTATTATTTTTTATCCAAGTTCCTTGAATGTTTACATGATTTAAACTTTGTTGAACTTGCATCCTTGACTCAAAATTTTGAGTTGTGTTGTTATTATTTTCTATATATATATATATATATGTATAATCATGTTCTGTGCCTATACCTTGTCCTTCTCAGGTATCTTAACGATTTTTTATTCTAAAAGAAATTTTATACTTTTCTGTCTGTATCCTATGATTAAGGTTTCATGTGTATATATTTAACAATTATTTTTGCTCCCAGTTGTTTTTCTTCGTGTCTCCTCTCTTGTTTTTGTATAAAGAAATCACAATATAGGTTTATCAGCCTTTGTTTGTTATATGACAAGAATCTTAAACTCTTATTCTCTAACTTGCAACTAACACATATTATAAAAATATGTGTGTATAGGCGAACACAATCTCACATGTTAGCTTTATAATTCAACTCACTCTTTTAGTCTCAAAATTTCATCAAAGAAAGACAGATTTCCTGAATTCTCTCTCTAGTAATTTCAGAAGAAAAGAATTTAAAAAGTTCCAGATTTGACTTGAAAGGTGATCGGGTTATTTTCTAGGGTCAAATCTTTTTGTTTTTTTAATCAAGTTTTGTCACTTTTCTGAGAAACTAATTCACACATCTGTAAGAAGGCGGAATAATAAAGCTCTTTGGTAGATGATGGAACTCATAGCATATGAAGCCTCATGTTTTAGAGTACTAGATCTGTGGAATATGATCTCTTTAGCGAATAACACAAGTATAGAATTACGGCTAAGCTATTCCCGCGACCACGCTAGATTTTCATGTCATGTGTCTAGAGCTTCACATAGTAGATGCATGTGCGCTTTGAGAATATCACGACGGCTCTCAAAACGGGCCCGATAGCCTGTGCAAGCACTTGGTGCCATAATTTAACACCAGTTGACGTTGATGCTTAGGACAATATGTTATTTAAAATACAGCACAGAGCAATGCTGGACTTTTACCTTAAAATTATTGTGCACAGAAGTTGGAACCAGAGCAATAACTTCACTTCATGATATTATTAAATTTCACTGAATTCTGTTCTTTGTTCGTATGTTTTGTCTTTGTCACTTTTGCTTAACGTGTTTAAGGGTGGATACCCCAAAAGCTAATTATTCTTTATGCTATAAAACAGGATAATCTCCACTAATTGTACATCAAAATGGCTTTTCCTGATTCTTTATCCTCTCAATTGTGAACTATCTCCTCAACTACCAAGTCCACAACTTCATCATGAAAGCGACTATTGACCTTGAAGTGGAGGCCTCCTCAGCAAATGAGTCTGATGTTAGCAGCCATGTTGCTTCCAACGTATCTGTCCAAGAAACTTCTGCGGGGTCCTCCAATGAGAGCCTCACTAATTGTTCTTATCTCACAAATACCGCAATGCCAGGTCAAGCAGGATTTGAACCAGTTACCCTGGATTTGACTCTTAGCTTCAATAACGATGATTTAGGTGCAAGGGAATCGATAGGACTCTCGTTATCAAGCACGAGCGAGAGCAGCAATGAACCTTCATCCCTCAACACTGCAGCAGCAGCAGCAGCCATAACAAGAGTATTTTCTTGCAATTACTGTCAACGCAAATTTTACAGTTCACAGGCTCTTGGCGGTCACCAGAATGCGCATAAGAGAGAACGGACACTAGCAAAACGCGCTATGAGGATGAGCATTTTCTCAGAGAAGTATACAGGCCTGGCTTCTCTCCCTCTGCACGGGTCCTCCTTCCGGTCTCTGGGGATAAAAGCACACTCGTCTATGCACCATGGGTTGGTGCCATCGGTGAGAACTCCTGAGATGAGAAGCAGTGCAAGATTTGAACAAGGGTATTTTGGTGTGCCGATTTTCTTGCAGGATGATGAGGCCGAGCTGTTGTGGCCAGGCAGCTTCCGTCAGGTTGCGGCCGAGACAAGCAACACTCAACCTAGTTTTGTATTGACAGGAGGAAGTTCAAACTTAAATTTTGTAGAGGTGACACCAACAGCAGACATAGACAACTCTGCACCAGATCTCACACTGAAACTTTGAAAGGTTTGCTCAATTTCGAATCTGGTTACGACGTTTCCGCTGAGTTGTTCTCTTTCTGTACAGTAAGATGAGCATCAGCCATGGCTGCAAGTTGCTATCCTTGACACTTTTTGTTGTTCTCTGCTTTCTGTAATCTTCACTTTGGCATTTTTTTTTCTTACTTTGCTCGTCAGTGTATAAGTGTTTTGTAAGGATTATTTTAGAGCTGCTGTGCTTCTTGTGAAATATAATGTTTTTAATTTGCAGTGCTCACAAGTATGATATTGTTGGCCATCTCCCCATTAACAAAACATCCTTCACTAGAAAAGGGAATTCACTAATTGGCCATCCTAATCAACTTGACCATAGTGTCCTTTCCTTCAATTTCTTTGAAAAGGTTGGTAACATATTACATTTTGGAAAAATCAATAGACCATATACTAAATTAAGGAAATTAAAGTTAATTACTGAATTAAGGAAATTAAAGTTAATTACTAAATTAAGGAAATTAGGTTCTCTCTCTCTCTCTCTCTATGACGAATGTGGGACAAACTTTCCTTAAATGAACTCTTATGTATGAGATGAAACATTCATTTCCTTAAATATCAAAGATGACAATTAGCATCCAATTGGGGGATTAGGAGAGGGGAGACACTATCTCCCTTAGTCCCTATCCTTAAAGATATTAGTATTGCTGGAGAATGTCCCACCACTTCGCTCCTATTTGCTTAAAATCTAGTTTGTTATTTTGTGGATCAGAGGAAAGTGATTGTGTTGTCTCGCAAATCATCTTGAGCCAGAAAATCATTTTGGAAAATTCAACTTTGACAGTGAGTTCAAATGTTTTAAGAATGAGGAAAGCAAAACAATGACGGATATTCCGTTGTTTAGCAGAGTGTAAAAGGTATAAAATTGTTAAAACTTGGTGGCTGTATTTAGACTTAAACATTACATGAGATGAAGCCAAGTGTTTGTTTGTTTTATATATATATAAAAAAAAAAAAAAAAAAAAAAAAAAAAAAAAAAATTATAACTTGGTGGCTGTATTTAGACTTAAACATTACATGAGATGAAGCCAAGTGTTTGTTTGTTTTATATATATATATTAAAAAAAAAAAAAAAAAAAAACACATAAAATTCACGGACAGTTCGACCACTAGAACTTTCAGGAGAAGATAACAATATGACCTATAAGTGGACCCACTAAATGACCGTGTCTCATTACTTTGACCATTGTGTGTGCGCAACTCATTACCACCCTTCT